AGTTTTAGAAGAACAAATATTTTTCAATTAAAAACTTACTTATATAAAGCTTATTTTCTTTGTACAAGAAATGTTATGTCCTAAATGACTTCCCAATTTTAAGTGCACTTACGGTTACAATTAGGGATACTCTTAATTATGAGTTTGCAAAATGAAGCATTTTAAAAGCGTATTCATATTTGTCACTTAGGTTGATAGAATTTCTTAGTAAAATGGATGTGATCTCTATGATGATAAATGGGTCCCATAATTATAACTTCAGAATGTTTTCTTTTCACAAATTCAGATGAGGGCAACTACGTCGCACAATTTTTATCATATAATTATCGTTTTTTAGAAGGAATAAACTGACAATTTTTTCATCAGTAATGCACTTCTAATATTTGTACTTAATTGATTTCACCTTTTCAGGCCTACAATCAACATCACCAGGAAAAGAAGTAACATCTAGAGTATCAACACAGCAAAGGCTGGGAAATTTGCTTAAATCTAATTACCAAAACATGGAATGTGAAAAATCTCTTATTGGCATAAACAGAGACGACTATATAGAGATGGACCCATACCGAGGGACTGTACCATATGCAAAGACTGCATCTCTTCCATCAGCAAAACGAAAAGTAAGGAGTGTTGTGTTTAGAGGTACTAGTTTAGCATCAAAATTAGTTTAATCTTAAGGGTGTGGGTATGAGTAGGTGTGGGCGCATGGTGAATCCCACACACTTGACATGAATTAATTCGTTTTTTTAAGAAATTCTTTGTTAAAAAGAAAGATCTGAAAGAATTAGTTTCATTGTATGAAAGGTAGATGTGCAGAATGTGTAAGAAGAGATTTTGGAGTGTTTTTCGTTAAGAACAACAGAAGACATCTTATCTCAGTCAACGGAAATAAATAACAGATATTTTCTCTTTACACAAAACAAACTTTAAACAATGTCAATACATTTTACGTTAACTAATACTTTTTTCTATCAAATTATTTTTTCGATAAATTGAGTCTCACCGACAAGAAAAAAATCATCATAAATCACTGCGTTATTTTTAATGTCATTTCAAAGTAAAATATTCTATATACAAAAAGATGGTTCAAGTTGAATTTTTATTTATTGTAACATAAATATAATTATGTAATCAGGATTAAATCTCTCATTGTTTGTTTATTTTACTTCTTTTTCTGAGAATTTTCACACAGGATTAAAAAAACTGTTATACATGTTCTTATATTTATTCGACATAACATAAACTTTAAAAATAGATAAAATACATTAAGGAAAACTTTATGAAGAAATGTACATTTTCGAAATAAAATAGTTCTGAAAGAGATTTAATTTTCTTCATAATTATTCGAAAGAAGATTAACAAATTGAACACATTTGATGATTAATTACGAGAACAATCAACGACTTTTTCAAGAAATCTAAATGGATATTTTTTGTTAATATTTAGTCTGGACCAGGGAATAAAAATAATATTACCCAATCTACACTGAAAAAAAAGAAGGTGCACCACTGAACTATTTTTGCAACGCAATCGAAACTTCTAAAAAGGTTTCGTAAATATCGAAAATACGTTCAAATTATTTTTTAATTGACAAGAAATCTTTTTAAAGGGTTGCGTAGAAAATCTACAGAATCTAAGGAAGATTTAGAATTCGTTGAAAACGTCGAAACCTTTTTAGGGTTTCAACAGACCTACGAGACCATCAGTTATGTTTCTTTTCACGCTAGGAATCTTTTTTGTTTTTACAAAATCCTCTTCGATTTCATAATACATCTTTTTCTTTTTTCAGTGTACTGGTTCACAACAACGATCGTAAGTATTTGTTGTATTCAAAATATATCTATCATTTTAGATCTTTATTTTATAGGAAAATTGCTTTTTGTTTTTTAATTATTGCTGTCATTCTTATCCTAATAATTATCATTAGTATTACAATATGGGTTATTTTCATTAGAAAAACCGGAACAACAATTAATACAACTGCAAGTACAATTGATACATCGACAATAAAAACAACAATTCTTACAACAACAAAGAATGGTACAGTTTTGTTATAAAAGAAAAAATAAGAAATGAAATATTTCTTGAGTTCAAAAAATAGGCTTCACACGTAAATTCCAAATTTGTAGCTCACTTACGCATTCATATTTTGCCTAATGGTATTTGAAATTATATAGTCGTTCAAGAAAAATTAATAATTCCCTTTTCTGAAAGAAAGGGTTATAGGACGTTGAAATCTTGGGCTTAAAATACTAAAAGATTGGCTGGCTGTCTGTCTGTCCAAGCCAAGCAGATTTTTTTGGCCTGTAACTGGGTCTAGTAAGATTCTTTTTGGTCGAGATTTCCACCAATAAGGTTTTTTAACATTGTGGTTTTGACCAATACAACTACCGAGAGTGGAAGGGCAAATACGTAAATAAGATTTTAGCACTGTTTTTCCGTACTATCACTGCGCACGAGCACAGCACCTCATTAGTGAGACATGTGTAGATGAAAGTCGTCTTCTGTAATCTCTCAGCAATAGTAATTAATTTCTTGATTGCATGAGGGGTAAAGCCACAATATAGTATTAGTTTGTGTTAGGGTTGTGTAGTTTCACATTACTGAATACCGATGTCCTAGACACTGAGTTCACTGAAACAGTAATAATGCTGACAGTTAGGATGCGGCGGGATTGGGCCGATCCGTAACTATTTCCTATTGAAATAAAACTTTTTATTCGCTCAAAAATTTAATATAATGCTTCGTAAAAATAAAACTAGAAAACAAGTGTGCTCATGTCAAAAAGAACATCTTTACTAAAGACAACTGAGGAAGATGGAAGAAATAACAAGGTTTGATTATTCTTTGAGTTCATCTTCACTTGATACGATGCCATTATACCTCGCAAAAGCTTAATGAGAGTATCGACGTACAGAAAACACAATTTGAATCAATGGAATGGAAGATTTTATTATGAATGCGAATAAAAATGTCTAAAGAAAGGTAACGCTCTGTAATGAATAAAAGACTTCGAATACTTCCTAAAAAACTCGAGCGTCGAGGAAGAAAGTGAGTTTTTGTCCAGATTATATTGATGCGCATAGCAATAATATGATTGCACAGTATTAGATATACTGTCCTCAATCATATGATCTCTTTGTTTCATTTCTGTTCTCCTCCTCCTCCATATTGATTTGTTCTTATCGACCTTCTCTTCGAATTTTTCTCTCGTTTTACTTTTAATGTATTGAGATGTTTTATCTCCCTTGAATAAATATTTTCTTTTACTTGATCGACTACTCTGATATAGCATCTGACAGACAGAAATCAGCATATTGGACCCGCTTCGACGTCAGCTTTTGACCAACAAATTATAATACCATGAAGTCTTATTGATTGGTATCCCATTCGACACGTGTTTAAAACCAATTTCTGGTAGATTAAAAAAAATCCGGTTTAAACGGAGCCAGGACGGGTATAACTGTTAGAAAGGGAGATCGAGATGAAAAACTCCCACCCAGCCGGACCCTAGTTGATAACTATAATCGGATATTTTGGTAAAATTTAAATAAATAGTTTTAAAAAAAGGGAACAGCTGTTGCAAATCCTGCAGTTGAGTCGTCATGGATACCAACTATATAGAAACATTCAAAATAAATAGAGATCTTTCTTGTGGTACAATGTAATGTACTGTATTCGTAACAGTTTACAACATAGTTTTCCGTTGCTTAGTTTCTTCTTGAGAACCATAGTATGAAATACCCACTATATTTTTGAGAGAAATTCATATGAAATGCACCTCTTCACTTTAAAGCTGGACTAATAGCGGAATAAATATTGGGGTTAAAAATGTAAACGCCTAACCGTGAGTGGCCGACTGGAGAGAGGCCGACGAACGATTAGACGTTAATTTAGAAGATTGTTTTAAAGCACAGTTTTGAACTAAGTTTCAGTTAGTTTAAATGGATTTGGGTGGGGTGCACTTAATGAATGCTGATTCTAGAATGAATTCGATAGCATACCGTTGTGTCAAAATAAGAACGAAATTGAAAACTATGATAATCACTATGCAATGTTATCTAACTCTGTTGAAAGTTTTCGATTTCGAATCGATATGTTATGAATAAAATAGTTTTGGTACATGTGAAAAATCCTAATGTGACAATTGATAGACAGAAATGTACACCATATATGATAACGGCTAGCCGTGAGTGGCCGACGAACAACTAGACGCTGCTTTGAAAGGTTTATCATAAATGTAATAAGCAAAACTAGAGGATTTTTTGAAAAATTATCAAGCGATTCGATTCTTGAGCTAAAAACAAATCTTTGTTACACATTTGACGTAACAAGAGTTATTCTATAAAGAACTTGTGAATGCAAACATGGCATTATTTCCTTGTAGTGACGTGAGTAGGAATAGTTATGCAGTTGCATGACTCTAAAAATCCTTAGGATCTGTCCGTAGTTGTATTATTTTGAATGAAAATCTTTTTTCCAAATGATCGGGGTTCAGGATGATCCCAAACATATCCTAATCTGGTTGTGCTGTTAAACTTGCTGAAAAAACTGAAACATTTGAACGACATCTAGTTCCATTTTCTGAAAAAAACAATTAAGTAATGTGTGACGGATTCCATTCATCACTATCTCTTCTATATTATTGTATGTACATGTCCGGCGTGCATATACATACATTTTAGTCATTCCTCATTCTTTCTTTTCTGTTTGTTTTCTTCGTCGTTCGTCTTTATTGGTATTCATATTGATTCATTCAGTTGAATAAAGTACGAACGCGTAGTCGTTCCGTCACATAATGATACTTATTATACTTACATTCATAAATATTTGTCTGTCCGTTTTTTTCAAATGAATTTAAGTTCAGGATTAAAAAATACGAAATCTTGAACAACTAAATATGGTCAGATATCTGTACTAAAACTGGTTAGACTTAATCGAAGACATTGGACTCGAATTTAAGATCTATTTTCGAAAATGGTACAGCGTTTATAGAGTAAATGTTCAGCGAACCATCTCAGGGTATACACTTTAGGAAGAGGATCAGTTTTTTTCATAGCATCAATTTTTCTGATGATTTAGGAATATTAAGGTTGTTTTACCCAGATTACTTCCAAAGTGTAAGAATTCTCGAATATGCGACACCACAACTCATGAAACTTTTTGAATTAGATCAGTTTTTAAAAAAATGAGATATACAGCTGCGACTGATTGTTTATTCGTCAAATTACAAATGAACCATATTCGACTAAGGTTTAATGATGAGTATATCCTATCCAAATTCTCTCTCTTAACATATAATCAAAATCAAAAATTATTTTTAATGATAATCATAGGAAACTTTCTTTCAGAAAAAGATCAGCGGATCCATCGCATGCGCGCTACTTGTGATATTAGTTTGAAATACTGTTAATCGTTAATCTTCTCTATTTTTTAGACAATCAATGGATATCTTCAAATATGATTGTTTTACAGGAAAAAGATATGCTTGGTAGTGATATGGCTAATCGGCGATCAACGACTTATACAGAATGTTGTAGTTTTTGTCTGTCGACGCCTGGATGTGGTGGATTTGTATGGGGCTGGCCAAATAATACATATCCCGTTAACCAATCTCGTTGTTATTTAAAAAATGGGTTTGTTATTCCAACTAGTGCCGCGCGATTTACTAGTGCTCACTTCTAACTCTGTAATATCCACTGTTATATATTCGTTTCTTATATAAAAGACTAAATTAATAAAATGCTTTTTTTATAACTTTCATCAATATAAAGAATTATCTCTATCAAGGGTGTGGGTGTCTCTTCTCTCAGCTTAAACCCTTATCCACACCCTTTTTTTTACTTTCATTATATTTTATTTCAAAAAATAAACCTTTTATGCAGTGTTAAACTTAAGTTTAATTTTTCATATATCGCGTAAACTAGGGTGGGTGTGGCCATGGATATAGATCTATTCTTCATTCATAATCACGCCTTCATCCCGACTCACACCCACACCCTCGTTCACTCTCAGAATAGTCGTACAGAATTTATTTCAATTTGAATTGAAGATGAACATGCTTTATCATTTATGGTTGAAAAAACCATCAAATTTTAATTTTAATGTTGGAGAATATATTGATATTTATTTACCAAATATTGGTAAGTTTTAAAAAGTATACTATACACAATTATATTATCTTTTGGTGGTTTTAGTTCGTAACGAATGGCATTCATTTACAATGTGTACTAGTCCAGAATGAAAAGATATCCTTCGTTTAACTATTATGAATTCTTGCTGAATTCGAAGCTGAACAAGAATCATATTTAACTGTTACAACACCATCAACAACTAATTCACAATCAAGATATCTTGATATTCATCTTTATTATACATCAATACGTAATAATGAACAAACTATGTTAGAAAATCTTTCTTATCATCTTGTTGTTAATATGTATGAAGATATGTATACACAATTAAGAACACCAACACATGTTAGACGACCACCATGGAAATTATTATCCGCAAAATTTAAAGTTAAATATCGATCAACAAATGTATTTTTTTTTGGTAATAGGCTTATGACAGATGAAATTAAGAAACATTGTAATAAACATACTTTTCGATTTTAACATAAACCATTTTTAAAACTTATGCCAAAGAACACGGCTATCTTTTTCTCTCTCTATGAATATTCATTTTAATTATATTTTCATAGACAATAATTCATTTGCGCTCTCGATATTTTTATGTATGAGTAAATGATATATGTGAAAAATATATTCTTTGTATAAATAGTAGAATTCATTAAGCATTGTTTTTAACAAAGGTATCTGTTTAAGAAAATCTTCAAATACATTCTATTCTATTTGCTTTTAGATTATTACATCTGTGTAGCGTTGAAAAGATCTAATCGTTGGATCTCATAATATTTAATATATTAAAGGTTTTTTTCAATTCTGATATTTTAATTGATGAGAGATTTGAATATCTACTAATCGTGAATGTTATCCTAATAATATTCAAAGAAAACTAATTCTAACTCTTTGGATCTAATTCAGATGTTTTCAATTGAAAAATAATAAATAAAAGTATAGACGATCAAAGAAAAAATTGTAAAATATAATACATGATTTTTATGTTCAATAATTGATAATGCAAAAGTAATGTCACAAAACGTCTACAAAGGTATATTCTCAAAGAATTTTTTTACTTATTTTGTAACTATTCATCGTTTATTTTCATCATAAACTTCTTTCAAATAAACAAATCAAGAAAAAAAATCAAAATACACTTCCTGATCAATTTCAATAGCTCGCTGTAAAAAATTTGAATATTTCTTTTATAAATGACCATCATTGTTAAGATCAACCCTTTTTATACATGTCCTTTTCTTTCTTACATTTATACTCGTGTCAATGTATGACTAATTGACCTGTTCCTATTTTTTTTCTACTTCTATTCGCATATGTAAATATTGTAGAGTATGTACAGTTTACATAAATTTCTTTTCATATAAATTCAAAAAATGGTCTTAGTTCAGCTTTGACATTTATTTTATTTAGATAAATAGTTATTAAGAAAAAAATGATTAAAATACTTTAAAAATTGAAAAAAGCAGAAAACGAAAAGAATAAATATAAAAGATTAGTCTCTAATCAAAATAATATGGTTTAAAGATAAATATAATATAATAATAAGAAGAAAAAAAATGAGCATTGTTTTGTTTTCTAGCAAAGTCTTTTCTTCATCTAAAATCCATTATTGATATAAGCTTATTTTGATGATTTCTTGCATGTTCCGGTGATTCCTGCGGACGTAGCGGAACTAGCAGTTATGCTGCTTTTTGTATAACAATTGCCATTGTTGACATTGAATGTCCATGCAACACAAGCTGCATATGTCTCACATAATGCAGCACATGCTGCTGGTGAGAGTTGTACCGCTGTATGACTGGCATCTATATCACCTCCATTGTGATCCTGACCGATAACAATCTCTGTGCATCTTGCGCTTGTTGCTAGATCTAGACGAAACATAAAAGAAGAATTGTATTATTTCATTCAAAACATTAATTATAACTTTTTTTTAAATTATGAAAATTTTTGTATGAATTTATAGGTAAAGAAAAAATTTAAGAAATATCATTTAGAATTGACATACTATTGTAAACGGCTCCTCGTTTCATGCTTGAGAGAGCTTCGGCGAGTTCTTCTTCGAAATCATCATCATTGTAGAAACTCTTTGCATTCGTTTGGCTTATGATAACAATACCAATAAGCATGAAAGCAATGATTGAGGATTGCATACTGTGCAGAAACTAAACAACAAAACGCATATATACACATTTGTATAATTATATAGAATATTTTACCTTAACGTATATGAGAGTTGAAAAAAAATAAATGAAGCTGAATGAATAATATATGATTTTCGATGGTGATTTATATACGCAGAAGATTTTGTTCTTAATTGGTTGTTTATTTTGATATGATACAAAAAGATAGGGGCGTAAAGCTATAATTTTTTTTATACAAATATCCCCATAAAATCATTCTTCCATTAATTCAGGTGAGAAGATGGCACATTATTTTTTTATTTTGATGGAAGAAAAATATTTATTACTTTTACTAATCACTTATTTATAACAATATTCATATTTTTGATGCAACTATTATTACCTGTCATTATCGAATTACTGCACAATGTAGTTGTTGAAGCAAAACAAGAATGAGACAATTATGAAATACAAAGTATGATGTGTTTAATGGACCCTGACAAAAAAAATAACTAATTATTGATCTGATAATTTATATTGTCTATTACTGTTGATTCATGCAAAACTATCTCTCTGACCTTAATTGATTTTATCGAAAAGAAAAAAAACAGGGTAGACTAGATGGCACAGAAATCGAAGCTCGATTTTAATTTTTTCACAAAATTCTCAACATTCACAATTATAGTAGAATCAAGTCAAGTTTATATCATTTTGATTCGGTAATTTCAAGCATTGAAACTATCACAAAAATATATGTTTTCAAAAATTTTTCATTAATATCGCTATTTTCCGGGGAATCACACCCACACCCTCAATATATATATTGACCATGTTTATTATGAGTAAACAATAGTATAATAAGATAAAATACAGGTGTTTCGTCATTTTATCACAAAAATTATTATCAAACATTTTATTTTGCTTGTCTATTATTAAAAAAGATAAGAGAAAATACAGTAATATTGGAAAAATAAGTTTTTTTTTTCATTGGATTTGTTTTTCTTTTAAAATTATTTCAATATCATTTACAATTCTTTCTTGAATTTTATCAAATGATTCTTCCTTTGTATTAACAATAACTAATTTTTTCTTATTAAAATATTCCAATACTTCTTGTTTTGTTTTAAGATGAACTTGCCAAACATGTTTTTCAAAATAATTCTTAGGATCAGGTGGATCATAATTTCTTGATGATCGTCTTCGTTGACATTCTTCATAAGGTAAATCAAAATAATAAATTAAATCATACAATTCTTTTGCATTTGATATATTAAAAATAAGAAAACCTTCAATAAGTAATAAATCACATTGATAACGATTTAATTCAATATCATGAACAAATTTTTCTGTATCAAGCGCTTCTAAACAATCCCAATCATGATGATGAAATTCATCTAAATGTATATGATGTGGATCATCATTTGGACGAAAATAATTATCAAGATGCATTGATTTTACACGAAAATTAGATTTAGTCGAAGAAAATAAGTGTTCAAGTGATTTGCACATTGTTGTTTTACCACCATTTGTTACACCACCAAGACCGACAATAATTGCTGGCGATGTTGAAGACATAGATTAATACTGAAATTAAACATCCTTAAAATGAAACATAATATTTATAAATAAAGTAAAACAAGTTTTATTTTTAAAAAAAAAAGGAAAATCTTTTATACAAAGTTATTGAAGATGGATTCGATCTCCATAATGATTAAGACTAATATAGATTTGCCATGGTAATCGAAATTCTTCTTGATCAATGTTAAGCTCAGAATGAGTATTCGTTTGTGTATTTTTCAATACAATTTTCGAGTTAATACAGTCAATTACTATTTCAATTGTAGCACCTTCATTTATATCTTGTATTTCATAAGATTTCAGTTGAGAACTGAACAAAAATGAGTAAAACTTTCGTAATAATTGAAATATTGAATCTTCTCCCGGTCTATGATTATGAATGGACCATCCATGTAATGTTGATTGTTCATTTTTTGATTGAATTATTCCAATAAAAGCTTTTGATGATGAGAATTTTTCAAATAATAATTGCACATGATTTATATTATTTGAATAGATTTGATTAATACGAAATGAACTAGAATGAGAATCTTGACCATTATGTTCTGCTACATGTCCATTTTCAAATAATTGAATTGATCCATTGATATCGCTGAATTGTGTATGTGAAAATGATTTATTTCGAATCAAAATAAGACTAATACAATATCCTATAAGAATGCTAAGAACTAATGAAATATATATTTGAAATCCTTTAGATTTTAACAGATGATCGAATTTATTAATTGAAGAATTTGGTGATGTTAATTGAATTTTGATTTTTTTCAATTGTTTCATCCATTTATCAAGATCTTTTTCTGAATAACTAAAAACAATGAAATAAAAATTTAATTATTCATTTTAGAAAGAAATTTTTTCTATTGAATTACTTTAGTTTCTCTTGCTTTTTATCTATTTCGAATTTAATATCATTGATTTTTTTTTCATATATTTTCCATTGAGAATCATTAAAATTTTGTTTATAATTACAAAAAATATCATGTACTATATTATATTCATTAATAATACATTCAAAAGAATTACGAAGTTCATTTGAATGATCTTCAATATGATTCGAACAGAAACTAGATCGACATCCTATACAGATCAAAGATTAATTTAAATGAAAAAAAAATTCTCGTATAACTAACCATTACAAGTATAGAGTCCATTAGAATTATCTATTAATTCACATCTAACACATGGTGGATTATTGTTCAATCTACTAAATATGAATAACATCTGAAAACTATTATTCATAAGTTTTGACGAACATTTTCTGCTATATTCATTCTCAAGACAAAAATAATAATTATTTGAATACAAAACTAAGCCTTGCTTTTGATTTTATTCATTAACAAAAAAAAACTCGCCGTATATGAATTACTTAGACTTTTTTTATAAAACGGGGAAATAGACGTCTTGATTAAAGAAGAGAAGAAAAATAAACAAATTAATGATCATTCCATCCACCACGTACATAATTTGGATTATATTTAATACCATTTCGTTCTAATAGAGCTTTGAATTCTTCTGGATTACGTCTTTCTAAATCTTGTTGATATCGTAATTCACCTAAAAACAAAAAATAAATTATATAAATTCGATAATTTTCTTTCATACCGGGTTCCCAAAGTGTTCCATTCATTCTAGCTTTTTGTTTTAAATCTTTTTCACTATGTCCTTGTTCTCTCGTTCTCCAATTCCACCAAACTCCACATTTAGCACATTCAATAACATTACATAAACCTTTTTCTTTTAAAGTTAAAAGACGACATGTTGGACATTCACGTAATTCACCTGATTGAATCATTTCTTTAAAAGCTAAATCTAAATCTCCATCAGAACCTTTTTCAATTGTCTGTTTAACATTACATATTTGACATATAACTTCTTCTTTTCTTGGTGAACCAATTTGAAGAAATCCACCTTGTTGACATTGAACACATGTAATGAAATTTTCATTTCGAGATAATTTTTTTAACATATATGTTATTATAAATGAGACAAGTTCGGCATGTGTTAAACTTCCACGTTCAATTATAGTTTTTGCATCACATGGTACATTACAAATTTCTGCCGGACATGGAATCCATGGTAGAAGATCTCCATCACGAATACGAGTTGATAAATATTGATGAAAATCATCTCGACAGATCATACGATGACCACAAGCCTATTGAAATAGAAAAATATACAGGTTGAGAATTCTATTATATAAGCTTCTCTTACGTTCATTAAAATCACCATTTCATCTTTATCCAAACAAATTTGACAACATTTATAAACTAATTGACCTTCTGGTTGCTCATGTTTATATTGTAATGAATTGAAAAGTTGTGTAACTATTTCATGTAATTGTTGATCAGAAACTGTTTTCGTTTGTTGGCGTTGTTCTTTAAGTATAGATATATATTGATTGTAATATGATTGTAATTCATCTTCATTCATTGCAATTTCTACAGCTTCGATAATTTTTTGAGTTTTATTTTTATTCTGTGGCATTGGAAGCTCGAAGTCATCATAATCATCTTCATCTTCTTCTTCGTCTTCTTCTTCATCATCTTTCTCATCACTGTCATCGTCACTTGTTCGAAGTTTTTTTACAATAGAATTATCAAGGTCAAATTCATGTCCACACATTCCACAAACTAACAAGAAATATAAAAAAAATTATGCATGTATATACATTTTTTTCAAATCAAACCTGTAATAAAATCACCCGTATTATCAAATGTACATGTCGGACATTTAAGAACTTTATCATCATTTTCTTTCCTCAATTTTGAACGATTAGGGTTTGGTGTATCACACTATAAAAAAAAAGTCATGATTATTTAAAAGAATGAAATTTTTAACATACCATTTCACATTTTTCTGCATTACTAGATTGAACATATGTACAACGATCACATGCATAAGTATCTGATATTTCACTCATATTAATCTACAACATTTAATAAATGATAAATATCTATTAAAATAATTGAAAAACAAAATAAAAGTAATATATCAAAATTAAATATTATTTAATAAATCATCGGCTGATAAAGAATCATCGGGTAATGAAGGTATTGTCATTGTTGAAGAAACAACAGCATGATTAATAAATGGACGAGTTGAAATTGAATTAGCACCGGTTACATGTTTTTGTCTAGATAAAAATAATATTATTATTGGATTTCATATTTTTAAAGTATTTCATACCGCTGATGATGTTTATTAATTGTTGATTTTTTATAATCCATTCGATCATTACCTAAATCAAGTGGGTTATCTTGATTCTTGTCAACAACATTTGATTTTGATCGATTTGACATCTGAATCTTTAAAATTTCCAAATAAAAGTAATTATAAAATAAGAAAAACATTTTCTTTACTTCATGAATATCGTCATCTTCACTTGTATCTACGTCATGTCTACCTCGTTTATTCGGTGACGGCTGTTCGATATCATCTAATGTTGTTGTCACGGTATGTATAGGTGATACACTTCGAGAATGTGAATCCATATAGGTATCATATTTATTATTTCTTGTCGTAGGATGATCATCATCATCTTGATATGATTCGAGTTGATGTTTTAATTTTGCTAATTCACTCTTCTTTGCATTTAATACGAGAACAAACTAAAAAAATTATATTTTAAACCTTAGATTTATAAAAATCAGTAGGTGTATGTTATTACGATCGAATATAGTGATAACGCGTAGGCTTATATGACTTTGCGTAGAGCAAATCATGTTCTACGGTTGAATGATTACGATAAATATAAACACGTTAATATAGCATATTTTTTTAATAACGATGTATCGATTTAAACATAAGAGTCGTAAATCAGAAAAAAACGAAATAGATGAAAATAGTGATCGATCAAGTATACATTCAACAACATCTCTATCATCACACGGTAGTAATTCATCACTTTC